ATCCGTAGAACAGCCGCCCCTACCTCCGAATCCCGGACGGGCGGAACATTATCCTCCCCGTGCTCCCCGTCGTCTCCGGCCAGGGAGGCCATCGACGGGGGAGTGTGTTCCGCCCGTTGTGGGAAAAGGCCCTCAACCACTTCTCGCAGGAAGCTGGGCTGGAGAGTCTCCGTAAGGGGGGGGGGGCCGACGCGCGGAGCTTTTGTCGCACCGCGCGGTAAGGGCGACCCCAGGGGTCACGATTAAGACCCTCCAGCATCTCCTGTCTCTTTTCTTCTTTGGCGCGGCTAATGGCCAGCTTCAGAGTTTTCCGCGCCCGTCGGTACTCCTCATGAAGCCGGTCCTCCTCACCGTCTCCACGGTGACGCCGCCGACTGCGCGTGTAGGACCTCCGGGCACGTGTACAGGCCGCACGGAGGTCCGCCAGCTCCTGGGACCACCAGTAGACCTCCTTCCTTGGAGGCCGACGACCTCGAATGCGGGGCATGGCCGCATCGCAGATATGCGTAATCGCATCGCGAAAGCGACCAGCCCCCACGTCGACCTCCTCGGTCGGAGCCTGAGGAGACAGCCACGAGTGAATTATGGCCACCGCGGAAAGCGGGATAAACGCCGCGCCACGTGACCCCTACTGGAGTCCTGGGTCCGGGAGAGCTCAAATCGGATATACAGGTGATCCGAGAGCGTCTCAACCTCTTCCAGGACACGCCAGTTCCTTACTCGTGCGGCGAGGGCAGGAGTAGCGAACGAAAGGTCCACTATCGACCCCCCCTGCTGTCGCACGCACGTGTTGGTGGAGCCTCTGTTGAGAAGACAGAGGCCCACCGAGGCCGCCCACTCCTCTACGGCCTCGCCCCTTGCGTCCGTCCTGGGGGAACCCCACGCAATGGACTTTGCGTTGAAGTCCCCCAGCACAAGGACGTGCCCAGACGCTAATCGCCGTATCGAGGTCTCCAAGCTGGTTAGGAAAACCTCGAAGTCGTTCAAACTCCGGTTGGGGGAGAAATAGACACCATATATGGTGATCCCCCCCCACTCGACGGCAACATATCCAGTGCCCTTGTCTCTTAGCGACAAGGGCGGGGAATGAGCCGTCGTGGAACCGACGACTGCCACGGAGCCGTCCCAGTCACCCATCCAGTTTGGACAGGGAGGGACAGAATAGGTGCTAGGTGCTAGGCTGCCCCATCTGGTGATTGGCGGGCTTATTGCCCGCCGCACACGCTGGGCAGTGAGGGGCGGCAGAGCATTCTGCCGCCTTATGCCCCGGTTGACCGCAGCGGAAACACAGTCCGCCGCAGTCGAAACAGCTGTCGCACTTGACGCGCGTGTGTCCCGTGGCCAGGCATTTAAAACACCTCATCGGTCTCGCCGCCAGGACTGTGATCCTGGCGCTCACGAAACCGATGAGCAGCCTGCCGGCATCGGCCAATACTTTGGCCGACGCTACGGGACAGCTGACCCACACGGCGCCAAGCCCTCCTGGACCGGGGCGGATGGTGCCGACCCTGACGTTGTCCGCGCTGCACCCCGTCTTCTCCCGGATTACAGCGCGGACATCTTCGGCCGTCACTGAGTCGTCCAGGCCCGAGATGCGCAGTTCCGCGCACTTGGTAGGCCTGGCCTACCCTGACACCATCTGTGGCCGCAAATATTCCCCGCAGCCTCTCAGCGAAGGAGTCCGCCGTCTTTGCGCCTTCAGCCCCAGGGAACTCGAGGACTCGAGCTCCCCCCGAGCTCTGACCCCCACCGTTCCAAAATCGTTGGCGAGGCTGTCCTTTGAAGACGGCCGCGTAGGACAGCCCGCCGTCCGCCGCCTCCGGGGACACGGTCACCACTACAGCCGCGGTTTTGAAACCCTATACCAACCCGTCTGGCCAGCGTGGTATAGTAGGCCAAACCCTCCTTTCTAAGGAGAGGCTTACGTCCAGCAGTGGACTATTAAAGGCTGTTGATGAACTTAATGCCACAGGCATTTTTTCCCATTTTACCTTTAGGTGGTGGGGAAATGTCTGAGTAGGTGCACTAGAAAGTTGTTTGTGTCAAAGAGATAATAATAATGAAGGAGATGGACAGAAACAGTGTGACAGATATACATACATACATACTGAGATACAGATACATATATCCTTGCTGAGTTATAAACATACTTATATAGACATATAATATAATACAATATATCAAACTTTGGGAATGTGATGAATCTGCTTTAGTGTCCAGAATTCGAGTTAGGACTTTCGTCTTAAAGGGGAGGCGACTGGGTGCTATCCTGATTTCCAGAAGTACAGCGTTCCAGAGAAGGACATATTTAGTTATCACATATTTTTTGCTTAAAATTTTTAGAACACGAAACGCCACTTTTTCATCAGAGATAAATTATTACTATATACCTACCCTTACTCTTAATATTTGTAATCCTTTTTTTGAACTTTAGAGCAGTCTTAATTCAGATTTAATCACGGTGTTAACACACAGTCGAAACATACGATACTTTAAGCATCTTTGATACGAACTATTATATGGGAATCCTATTGTATCTTTTATGAGATTTAAAAATCGAACCTTTCAAAAGCACATGTTCTGAATGTTGTTTTGAAAAAAAAATGTAGCTGTCATTTCGCAAAAGAGGACGTAAAGCTTTTCCACATTTAAAACCAGTGCTTTTTAAAACCGCATAATGTAGTTAGATGCACGTGGCCGACATAGAGTAGTATGGCGGAAGAGAGCGTTTCCCTGTAGCAGTGCTGTAAAGAAAGATTTTTACGGTTTAGGGGGGAAAGGTGGGGGAAAGACGTATATCCTTATTTGCTAGTACGTGACCCCAACCTTGCATTTTAAAAGGTTTTATGTGGGGAATTTACAGGGGAATTTACTTTTAAGCATGGTAAGTAGCTTAATAGAGAAGGTAGTCTCTTTTAATTTGTTTTGTTAAGAATATTACTAGTTCTATCACTAGTTAGTATAATAGGTCTTTACCTATGAAATTTCCGTTTTGTATGCAATAAGTGAAAGTACTTATTTATTCAAACTTTTTTATTTCTGTTATTCGAAGTAATCACCCAAGCAATCGACGCATCTTTGCCAACGCATTGGCAGTTTATTGATGCCCTTCTTGTAAAAATCTGCTGGATGGGAGGCAACAAACTCTTCAAAGGCATTCTGTACTGCCTCTCGGGAATTGAATTTTTTACCCAATAAAAAGTTGTCTAAATTTTGGAAAAAGTAATAGTCGGTAGGTGCAAGGTCTGTGCAATAAAAAAGTTTAAAATACCTAATATTAAAATTAATTAGTTATGACATATACATTCATCAAAGAACTATTTAGATCTTGAGCATAATTATTTCCCAAAAATAAAATATTGCGTTTAAACTTGAATATTTTTATTAAATAAAACTCAACAATGATTTCACAAATAACATAAAATTAAACAATATCTTGTTACAGCTAAAGGACCTTGCACATATTTTAACGTTACGTGTAGAAAAGGAACTTCGTTAAACACACCTCTGAATTTGATGTAATTATTAGCTTTAAGTAAACAAATGAGATATATTCAAGCTTAGTACATTATTAAAGCGAAATGTGTACGAACTAATGAACATAAACGTCCTTTAATAAAAAAAGACGCAATGTATCAAAAGTACAACTCTACTGTTATAATTTGGTTAAATATTATTTTATGAAAATTAAAACTATTCGCTTCATTTGGATTTCAACCTCACAATAAAAAACAAAATATTATTCAAACTTAAACTAAAAATATTTTGAATCAAGTTCTTTTAATATTTAAATTTATTTCTTGGAATTTGGAAGCAAGTTTTTTAAACGAGCAAATGAAATTTCAAATTTCGAGCGATATAAATGCAAATAGTAAGAATTAAAATGAACAAAATTTTATAGCATTGAAAATACAAATGTGAAACTGAAATGCATTGGTGTAGTTTTATGTTATATAAGAACTAAGACTAGCGACAAATTGTCTCCATTGACTAGGTTAGAAGAAGTCACTCATTGTCCTAGGGAGTGTAAAACATTAACGTGCATTATAAAACACGTCATACTAATCTCTATGTTGCCATAATTATTACAAGCCCTGCCTCGTATTTTTCAATAGTAGGACAATAATTATTCATTAAATAGAATAGCTATCACAATACCACCCCACCACATTTCTATTAAAATTGCGATTAGAGACAGTAAATATGTATATTATAGCATGCATTTAGTATGTACGTATAAAGGCCCGTTTAATTACCTGACTGTACATCATTTATGAATTTAGAAATAAAATTAATTATAGAAAAGATTTATAGTCTAGCTTAAATCGATTAATTTCGTAAATTCGACATGTACACGGTTATACTTTATATCAATGCTATTGAAGTAAAGACGACTGAAGCGGTCTATAACAAAACCAATGGACAAAATTTTGAGCAAAACCATAAGTACAATGTGCCCAGTTATTAAAATTTTTACAGGTAAATTTGTATTTTTTTGTATTCTCTGATAATGGGTAATAAATATCTAATAATAATATAAAAACAACTACTTTCTGCCAATCTTTAGGTCATTAGATTTTTTTTTCTTATTATATCACTTCCTCAATAATCGCTATGAATTCGGTCAATAGAATTTTAGGATTATATGGAAGACATTTCTTTATACTAGATGGCATCACATTTTTCATTTACATAAATAGAACATTTCTTAAAAATCATGCTATATCTTATATTTATTTTTATTTATCTCACATTATAGTGTTAAAATAATTTTGTTTTAAGATTTGTCCACAATGCCCCTAATTTAGCTTGTTTCTTATAATCGTTTTTGAAGTTATTCGAAATTTAAAGTTTTCGATTCAAACAAATTAAGATAAAATATATCTCGAATTTACATCAAATCATTTTCTGTTATTGTTTGACTTTATGACTTTACAATTTTTTAAGTAATAAACAGCATTTTTAAACTTCAACAAAGTTACTTTTAGATCTAATTTCCTTTAATTTTCAGTGCCAGTGATCCATTGCAGGTATTTGAATGACCGTGACTGGAGCGGGCTTGCGCGGGATTCCCTATACACGCGTTGTTGGTACGGGATCGGTTGCTCTCTGAAATATAAAGAAAAACACGGTTAAAATCAATTCTTGAATTTGATTGAATTCTTTTAAATCTACTGTACCCACTGTGTGCCCAATTTATATGTCGATGGTTAGACATAAAGAAAAGCATTTAGTTGCTACAAAAATATATTAATTATGACTATAATACCCATCATAGCTAACAATATTAAATTTACTTGTATGAAGGAAGGAGTACTGAATATTATCATCAACAACAGCCTGTAATAGTCCACTGCTAGATATATGGACCTCTCCTTAGAAAGGAGGTTTTGGTCAACTACACCACGCTGGCCAGATAGGTTGGTATAGGGTTTGTGTCAAGTTTTCGGCCAGTGTCGTGCAATATTCCGCAGGGATCTGTTCTCGGACCACTCCTGTGGAACATGGGATATGACTGGGCCCTTCGATGATTTTTTTAAAATTATTTATTCATTAAAAAAATAAATGTGTACATTCATAAGTACCTCGACAAGCTACACAGCTTGTTGGCAAGATACGCTTGTTAACAATTTTATATTTATTGTAAAGACCCTAAATCTACATTATTTATGTTACTGCTTCTACATAGCACATAAGTTTTATGTACAAGCACCAACCCAAAGACTAATTATATGGATCGACTGCCTCCAGCTGATAGACCTCACTGATAGTAGTGTCACCTTCGCCAAGGAGTAGTCTGTTATGCCGATGATACTCTTGTTACAACCAAGGGGACAAACTTTCAAGAGGCGGCGTACCTGGCCACAGGGGAGTCTCTCAGGTGGTGGGGCGCATCGAGGCACTGGGCTTACGGAGGGCCCTGGATAAGACGGAGGCCAGTTTATTCCATGGGCCCCTTCGTGGTCCACCCCCCGACGCCTCAATCATGGTCAACTCGGTTCTCGTACCGGTTCAAGCCCAGTTAAATTATCTGGGCCTGATCCTCGACGGGAGGTGGCTCTTCGACGAGCACATCCGACAGCTTGCTCCAAAGCTGGTTGGCACTGCGTCTGCCCTTGGGCGACTTTTATCCAATTTGGGTGGACCTAGCGTTGCGACGGCTGTACACAGGGGTTGTCCGGTCAATGGCACTTTACGGTGCATCGGTGCGGGTGGCGGCTCTGATCGCCTAGAATAGGGCACGCCGCCGGTGTCTTCAGAGGATATTGGCGGTTAGAGCTACGCAACGTAAACAAACTACCGCAACGTTTTGACGGAGGTGGTTTGCGGGTTGGCCGGAACTCCCCGAGTCGAACCGGGCAGCGGAGGCGCGCTTACTAGCGCCTCATACGGCCCTGAGTGTGACCGCGGATGGACGGGAACGGGTTTTCCCCTCCATTACGACAACCACGAAATGAATAGGGGTGCTGACACTGTATCCTTAATCCGTCCCCACACGGACATGTGTGTGAATATACCTAATAAATAACAAGTTTAATCCTCGCTTCAAACGTGTTATAGAAAAGTTGAAATATTTTAAGGCTAGAATGCCATAAGTATTGTTGAAAATGAAATATAAATTTTGAAACAATTTTAGTAATTTAGAGAATCAGATCATTAATTTAGTAGTAACCTATGCTTTTTTTGCAAAATTGTCAACAAAATTGTATGAAAATCATTTAATACGTCGTAATCCCAGGAGTGATATTTTGATACGAATAGCGCTACTTTTTAAAGAAAAAGTATTTACTAAAATTTCCGTTAAAAATAAAATTAACATACCTTGGTTCAGCAGAGGCACGAGTGTGATAAGCAGGCACGTTAGGGTTATGGTAACCCGTATGCACTGGTGTAGTCAACGTGTGTGTTTGCACCGGTGGATGCTCCGCGGGAGGCTGATAATTGTTTGGATTGTACCTATCTACTGATACACCCCGAACTCTGTCATCAACCTTCCCTTCCATGCTGACTCCAACAGTACTCAGTGGTCTTCTACGACCTAAAGTATTCGTTTTGGGCCATTCTTGAGATACATACTCCGACTCGAAGCTCCTCTCGCGATTTGACTGTGGTCTCAACGTTTGACTCCATGTCGGCGTTGGAGTATATGTCGACGACGGAGTTTTTGCATACTTAGGGTCTGATTCCCATGGAGGTTTGATGTTAGTTTGTTCTACAGTTTGAGTTTGAGATGTTTTCTCCGTGAATTCTCTGAGCTCCTTACGCCACTGTGGTTCTACGGGTTCGGATGGCTCATTGTTATCATAGTAATACTGTGGAGATGAATCGGGTTGAGGCTGGAACTTGGTTTCGGTGGGAATATAGGTCGATTCCGGTACAGTGATGTATCGTCTTTCATATTCACTATAGTAGGTTTTACGTCCAGGATGTCTTGGAAGCTCCGCAGCTGGCTTTACAAATGATTGATTAGGTGCTGGAGGTGCATAAGCTATAGGAGCGGGCTTAGTAAACTTTGCAGGTGCTGGAGTTGGTTTCCAGCCTTGAGAAGGAGCGGGACTGAATGCAGTTGATTGAGGTACTTCTTGATAGTACTTCTCTGAAGTATTATTTACCGAGGTGTAGCTAGAATCCTGTTCCCATGGAGGCGGAACGTAACCTGTGGAGTATTGTGTAGTAGAATTGAGTGTGCTTTTCTGATAACTTTGTGTCGTGTCCTTGTTTAAATAAGAATATGGAGGAGGAGGGGCTTCTACGGTATTTGATATCCAAGTTGGATTAGGTGTATATGAAGAGTAATTATTTACAGGTGCTTTATCGGATTGTGGCTCAGAATAAGATGGCTGGTACTGAGGTTGAGGAGTAGCGACCTTTTGGTATTGAGACTGGGGTGTTGCACCTCGTTGGAATTGTGGTTGGGGTGTAGTGCCTCGTTGGAACTGAGATGGGGGCGGTGGTTGATATTGTGGTTGAGATTGGTATTGCTGTTGAGATTGGTATTGCTGTTGAGATTGATATTGCTGCTGAGGTTGAGGAGATTTTGGCAGAGCAAAAGGTGCACCAGTATTATTTGGGGTAGACGTGACGTTGTTGTATAAAACGTTCTGATTCTCTTTAGTTTGTTGGTACCATTGCTGGTTAGTTATTGTACTTGGCTTTACGTTGCTAACGGCTAGAACTTCTGATTGAGGTTCACTTTGATATTGTGTCTGTTCATAGCTCTGGTTGCTAAACTGGTATACATCCGAAGGCATTTGCCGTTCCATGCTCAGTCTTTCTAAAAGCAAGCTGTGCCGCCTTTCAGGAACTGACTCTGGAGGATATACAGGCTGATAAGGTCTAGAAGCCATGGTAGATCCAGAAAACCTTTCTGTACTCGGAGGGGGGAAGTATGTTTTTACAGTTGGAATACCTTGCTGGGTTAAATTTTCATAATTCTGGTCAAGTATTTTTGTGGTACGATTAACAGTAACAATGTTTTCGATTTTATTATATTCTGTTTGTCTGCTTAGACCTCCTGATGGATCTACTGTACTCCTTGTAATTTCAGTATTCTCAGTGTGCGTTTTTGTAATAATTGGTGTAATTCCGATTGGCTTAATTTCAATGTCCTCTACTTTGTCAAGAGGTATAGAAGGCTCTCTGATAGGAATTGTAAATTCTGTTGGTTTTTCCTCAGGTTTATCTTCTTTTGTCGTTAACTTAGGTTGTTCAGATTCTTGTACCTGTACCGTGATTACGTGCTCTTTTTCTTTTATTGCCTCTTTTGTTTCACTAGTTACTTCTCCAGAAATAGTTTCTTCTTCTTTTACTTCCTTCGTAGATTCTTTAATAGAATCCTCTTCTTCTTTTTCAATATTTTCTTTAACTTCAGTCTTTTGTTCTACTTGGGTTTCCTGTTTTTCTTCCTCTACTTCTTCATATTCTTCTTCTGATTCTTCTTCGTCATTTTTATTAACAGTTTCTTTCACTTTTTCTACTTCTTCTTCTGGCTCAGATTCCTCTTTTTCTACCAGTTCTTCTTCTTTTATGTCTGTTTTAACTTCTTCTTGGACTATTTCTTGTTCTGCGTCTTCTGATTCTTCTACAATTTCTTCTTCCTCGTCTTCTTCTTCTTCTTCTTCTTCAACTGGCTTAGATTTAATTTTGGGCTCAGGGGTTGCTTGTTTTTTTAGTACAATTGTTACTGGTTCAGCTTCTACCACGTCTTCCTCTTCTTCTACTTCTTCGTCTTCTTGTTCAACTATCTCAGATTGTTCCGGCTTAGGAGACTCTTGTACTACTGCAACCTTCTTTACTATCGTGGTTTCAGACCTTTCTTCGGTTTTAGAAACATTACCATTTTCTTTTGGTGCAGAAATCTTCTCTGTTACCCTGGTGATTTCTGTCTCCCCAGTATCATCTTCATTGTTTACTTCTTGAGCTTCTTCCTCCTCCTCTTCTACAATTTCCTCTTCTGATTCTTCATCTTTAGGTATTACTGTAGTTTCTGTTCTCGTTTTTATTTCAGTGCGACCATCAATCGTTGTCTTTGTTGTAGTAGTTTTAACTTCTTCTATAGATCCATCTGGTAGTGTCCTCTTCTCCACTTCTACTTTTGTCTCGGTTCTAGCCCCTGATTTTTTCGTAGGTATCTTGACACTCAATTCAGCTTCATCATTTGTGTCTTTATTCTCGTTTCCATTTTGTTCTTGTACTTTATTTTCTTTGGTAACTTGTTTCTTTACTACTTTGACTTCTCTCTGAAACCGTAATACACGACTATTATAATACATACTTTCGGTTTATATCGATATTATTCGTATAATATATGTATTTTAATAACGTTAGAATAAATGAATAAAAAATGTTAAGGTGCTGTTCTTATGATCAATAATTATTGTTATTACACAAAATGACACATGAACTCACTAAGTATTAGTATTTTCCTATACTTCTTTAAGGTTGTATAGTAAGTAAGTGTAACAGACAATGTAAACACTTATATAAATATAGATATAATAAGTATACAGTAATTTTATTTGAACCTGATCATTATCAATATCTTCATTTTCTTCTGCAATTTTCGTTATTACAGAAGTAGCAGGGACTTCTTCGTTGATTGAGTTTACATCTTCTAAAGGATCCGCAGTCTTATTTATACAAGTTTCTACGTCTTTTTTTTCAATAATTGTATCTTTTTCGTCAAAGATCTGCATATCACAAAATTGTTCGGTTGTCGGTGTACTGCCTAATTTTGGAATACGGAAAAACTCGGGATCGGTGCTACTATTTAAAAATACTGGTGTTGCATCATATTCAAATTTGATTGCAGGAGGGACTGCTTGTGTGGTTAATGGTGCAAGGTCTAGCGAGGATATTGGTACCACTTCTGGTGCATACGCGAACGCCGCTTTGTGAGGAGATGTATACAACAGATTTGTATTTGAAGCAACTGTAAATCTATCATTTGCATAGTTACGATTTGTTGCATTGTAATCTTTACTTGCAGTATTATATTCATTTAAAGACACTCGTCTATCATTGTTTGTAGGCAGAGAATTGGTAAGCCTATTTTTATTATTCATTGAGTCATTATCATCAAACCGTACATTGTTTATAGTCGAAGGTGTTATCGGTTTATAAATTGACGTATCGCGTTGATCAGGATGACTTCTAGATCTTAATAAAGTTTTTGGATTAGCTGGCATCGCAGGAAATACTTGAACCGGTAAACAGTTATAATTTGGGAGAGCTATTGGTACTCCTGGAGTGGCTGATGGAAGTACTGGATGTACTGGTATTTCTGGGACCCCTGGATTCATTGCATTCCTCATTAGTCGTTGTGCCATACGCTGGGACTTGATCTCGGAGAGATTGATCCCGCCTGGGGTGTAAGTGAATGGCTTGCGATCCCGACTCATGGCACTGTGCAAAGCTGATGGTGGATTCATCTCGCTGAAATAAGTTTTCTCACGTTATTTCTACTGAACCACTGTCATCATAAAGTTTACGTGATTTAATATAATTATGTATATCATATTTTTGTAACGTCAAAAACATTGGAGGCGTTTTGGCAATTTGTCAAAAAAGCAGAAATAGGTACACGATACTCACAAGGTGTGATGTTCCCAATAAAATATAATATTTACTTCAGCCGTGGCAGTGATTTACACAACTTGGAAGCGTATTTGTTTATCCAATTAACACCATTAGAATATGACACTAAAGTTATCACATTTATCATAAATCATATAACACATCACAACTTCACGAGGACAGTTCACTTATTTTTGTGACGGAACATGCAGATATTAATCTGGTCGCAGCGGTTAAATATAGCACTGGTGTAGTAAATGAGCCGGTACATTTGAATCCAAGAGATGTTGCGCGCGGTCGGCGCGTGCGCCGCCTGCCGCCTACTGCCGTCTGCTCAGCCGCCGCCATGTATTTTGGGCCCGACCCCAATAACGGGCGCCTCATCTACAATTTGTCTTGAGCAAATCGTCAAAACAACATTCGGAATACTTCCGACAGTTTCGCGATTATTATTTATTGCATACTACGCCTCCATTCATCCACGATGCAACTCACGATACCTCATATCTCATTTATACCGTTCCGAATGCAGCTATCGCTGACAGATACAGGTATTTGCACCTTCATTGCTTTATATTTCTACGTTTACTTGATTCTTATTTGCCAACATACGATTTGACTGATTGATTTCTCTGATAGTGTTTATATTTAATTTTTGGAACGACATTCCTTTTCGCGCATTACACGCTTTGAGCGGATGGGAGACCGAAAAATGTGTAACAAAACTTTTGCCGACACTATAGCAAACAACTACCACGTTACTCAAGCCGTTTTTTTGTTTTAATCCTTCTTTTTTTTTGTAACACTGTCTTATAACATATTTGGATGTTCAACTATAAGGCATATACATATTGTTGATATGTTGACTATCTATGATGATAACTATCTATATTGGACTAAAGATTTTGTAGTTTGGTATTAAAAGTAAAATATTTATTTAATGCGGCCTTATCCTAAGATTTACAGCCGACAGCGGTTACTCGTCCAAATATCACTGCGCTATTAATGTTGGCTGCAAACCAAAACTCGCCATTGCTTACATTTACAATTGAATCGAATGGTATTCAAATATTTTCCTACTATCTATACTATATTGTCCTACTATCGGTGTATAAACCTATTTAAAAAAGTTAAATTCGTTTTACTCTCACATTGTTTTATGAAAACGTCGTTTGAATACACCATCCGCCATAGTCGTTTGGTTTAATGTTTTATGGAAGTTGTTTTACGTTTAATATATAAAGATATAAAGTTGGTAGCTAAGTTGCATCAGCCGTTTGGTCACGCACGAGTTGAAGTTAGTAAAACCGAGGCAATTTTACTATGCTTTAAAGAGTTGACAAATAAAAGCAACATAAATCTGGAGGCTTCAATGGTGAGTTTCGTGTTGGGAATAAAGTTCTGAGCTTTAAGTGGTATGCTGTTAACTTAAGCCCCAGGGACTCATAGGATCTAATGAAGAATTTGTGACAGAACTGGTAATCCAAGGTCACTGTCCTTCGGTATACAACATTACAAAATGCTTATTTTAGTTAATGAATTGGTTGGTCGTGAAATACAATTACACACTTCATTCAGCCAGATGAAGATTAATTTTTCGGCTATATTTACTGGGTTAAATTATTTTTATTAATTCCATGAACGTAAGCTAAAGCATTTTTTTTAAATGTTAAAATTAAGTTTCAGAAATTAGTAGTAGTATTTTCGTGTCCTTAGAACAATAAATACCAATCAGTCAGACAACAGAAAGAGTGACCCCTCCCTCCCGCTAATTTGGGTGGGGGAGAGCTCAAAACCCAATCAATAAATTATATAAAAGAAAAAAAACAAACAATGTACATTGTAAATATTTCGTTTTATTTACTTAGGCTGCTTTAGGACTACAGCGACAGCGAAAGTATTGAAAAATAAAAGTAACGCGTTATCTGTTAAGAGCCAAAACGTCTGTGTCAACGTCTTGAGCTTGTAAATCCTTAAAACCGTAGATAGAGGTGTTAAGAGGTGGTCGGTCACATGTAATAAAAGCCTAGTGCCGAGTTTCGGGCATGATTCCGTAACGATATGCATTTCAAAATTTGGTATTCGATACGAACCCGGGACGTTACAAACACGGAGATAGTCAAACAATATGAGAATAGCAACGAGACTTTTTTTTAAATTTTATAAAGAGCGAACTATGTCAGTTTATTTTGTAATAATAATCACATAAAAAAAATGATATTGTTTTTGCAATCGCGACATTGCTACGTTTTATTTACAATATACATTACATAGTACAACGTAATGATCCCAGGTACTAACACTATTCACTGTACTCAATAAAAGACTTAAGTCATGACAATATTTTTATAAATTGTATAGCAGTTTCAACAACAAAGCAATGTCAGCAACTAATGGAATGCAAGAAACTGTAGTAGAGAAAATTTACAAAAAGTGATAAAATGACTACTTATATGATTGCACTTATGTTAGTGTTACTTAATTTGTTATACAATTCTTAGAGCCTCTGATTTTAGAAACGGTACATCTTCTAGTCTAAAACCCAGAGTCCTATAAACTGGCTACAAAAAGAGTACTCATATTTTGGCGTCCTATATTCTCGTGTTCTCGACCTCGAGACTTCAAGAATTTCAATTTATCCTGTAAGCCGATTTAGGTTTGATATTTCAACAAGTTTTACTGAAAAACCTGTGAGAAATATTGCTCAGTGAACAAGCAGGTAATTTCAAATTTTCTTATCTCTTTTCAATATTTATGAGCAACACACAATCTACGTCCCATCGGATTCCGATGCCGGCACCTGTCCTGCACTTCTGAACATGGTCGGTCAATAAATAATACGAAACTACTTGTATGATATTTTTTTTTTCTTTATTGTGTTCAAAATGTCGTAATATCGGATTTTGTCACACGTGAATACATTTCGTTCTACGTATTTTTAAAATTACTCCAATTTTGGACACATAGGGTTGTTAAAGTTTGTGTGTAGAAGAAGTGCAGTTACTGATTTTGACAATATTGATGACAAGAAGGTGCAAACGTCCGACGTATGTGTCATATCCTTAAATGATGCCTGTCCGACTATGGATAATCTATATTATTATAAATAGACGTCATAAAATAATAATATTTAGGGACATCTTACAGAACGCCATCTAGTTTCAAACTAAGCAGAGCTTGTACTATGAAAGCTAGATTGACTGATAGAATACTTACATACATTTTTTGCTACTTTATACTAGATATTGTACATAGAAAACACCCAAACTCCGAAACAAATATTTGCAGATCATAAAACATTTGTTCCAACAAGGGAAAGGAACCCGAGACCTCAGCACAGCAGTCGCATAGGCTACCACTGCGTCACCGAGGTAGTCAAAATAAAAGTTGATAAATTATAATCGAAATTCCTTTACCAAGCAATATATGCTACTAGTACATTTATAATATATAATATAAAATATAATAGAGATGGCCTGGTGAAGAAATATTATGATTATTTTCGTCTGTGGACTTCTCATACTTGTAAATCTTTTCAATGGCCTAACTTTACTAGTAGTATTAATATTTCGGTTTAATTCTCAAGCTTTAATTTGATCTTAACCATCGAGTTTACTTATCGTCTTTCTTATTCTTCTACTTCTATATGTCACAGCCTTACCTGTTTGCGATGAGGCCGTGACTGCAGTGTTTCCTATGTCCTGACAATCTTCAAGACGATTTTAGTGAATGAATGAGTATCGATTTTTCGATTACATTGAAGGCTACTTCTATAAATGTACTTTCAGTGGGGCTTTTAGTTCATCACTGTCAAGTTCCGTTTGCGGTTAGCCAGCGGCTCATTACTTGATTGGTACATACACATACGTCGTCATCACAAACATTGCGCGATGTTTGTCCTGAGTGGATGCCACGACTGTATTCGAAAATTCGGGACAATTTCGTTTTTGCTATTTAGTTACTTTCTAAAGGATTGACTGAACCGGCCTATTGCGGCGTAAGAGGTAGGGCAAACAAAGTAAAACCACAAGTGACTCTTCGAGACTAACTGTATTCTCTCTATGTCTAAATTATAACAATGATCGCTTATGCCTTTATACTCATAAGTAAAAGACTTTATAATAACTTATCTATAAGATTTATTTTGGAGAACGTACATTATACACACGTAATAAATGTACACGTATAGCTACAACACTTTTCTCTACTTTGTTTTTTTTTATACTTGAGTTTATGTACGACCGAGAGTTCATATAACTCCTGGGCTCGATAAATAGCTCTGAAATCGATAGTTACATATAGCCCTACTAAAAATGATAACTTAAACCAACATTTATTTCCCTCAAGTTTTCAGTTTATGGATATTGTGAAAGTTTGAACTACATTTCTTGAATTTTGCCGGGATGAAAAACTCAATTAATGGTTGGAGTTAAAGTAGAAAAGTTTTTCGATGTATACACTTCTTAAGTACCCAATTTGCATGGCTAATTAAAAAAGTTTTTTTTCTAAATTGAAAATTACGAGTATTGCCTTTGATAACGGTGAAACTTACTTTCGTAGAAGAGTTACGAAGGAATCACTTAATATTTGCTAAAAACACACATGTGTACATTATGGAGTGCAATAAAAGAATTGAATTGAATTGACATGATATGCAATTTGGATGACAATGCCATATCTGCCCATTTAAGAGCTCAACTGATCATGGGATTACAGGTACATAGTAAAACTCTTCAGGGAACGTATTCGTAGCCTCTGAAGTGTTCTACTAGCTATTCTACTAGAGAGATTTATTAATGATATTTTGCTAGAGATATTATGTTTTTTACGGAACCTGTTGGTTGGGTACCGATTTGTTTTGAATTCAGTTGTCCAAAAAGTGTTTTTACCCAACTATTTTTCGAGAGCAATTATGTACATATATGTATTTATTTGATAGGCTCTGTAGTCTCAACGGCTTGATGGATATTGGCGTTTGAGGCGTCGTGTAATTCGCCTTTATTGTAAGTGTTACTAGGTACATGAAAATTTAGAAAATTAAAATCAGTAAAATACATTTTTACGCAGTCGGGTTTTTTTCTATGGAAGAGGGGGCAAACGAGCACTCGGGTCACCTGATGGAAAGTGACTACCACACAAATGTGTTTATTTCACAGTCAGCTTCTTTTCAATAATTAGCTTTATATTAAATAATATTTTAAGTTTTATATCTAACTGTGTTAGTAGTAAATATCATAAAAAGATTAGTTATACGTATATATATATATATATGTAAACAATTTAATTAGTCTTTTTGTTTTGCTGTGAAACAAGCGTGTGATTAGTGCGATATTTACAAATGCTTAAACTTGTAATACTTTCTTCTGCTTGCCCGCAATATCATCTTAATTCGTATACACACACAAATATACATGCGAATTACCTAATTTACAATATTATATAATAGTTATTGCAACCATAAAATCACGAGAACACTTACTTTCACTTCTGACTTCACCGATGCACCCTTAGTCGCCATTCTGTGAACAATAAATATAACTATAATATTTTTCAATACCACTAAGATCGCAAAAAAAATACCTAACAAAAACCTAACAAATTATACATTTGAAAGTTTTAATATTTTACGCTTTAACTACTTCAGGGGAACAGAAAATCTGGGTCCGTTGACATCTTATTTTCTGATACATAAATACAATTTTCTACAAAGATATTTCCCTATACTCTAGTATTATATCATATCGATTAGTGTTTTTTTATCGTATAGAGTGGCTAACGAGGCCAAAGATTCAGATTTATTTTAGGTTATAAGTCTAATACCTAAGTAAAACAAGGTTGCACATATAGCAATAACAATAACATGATTAATTTCGTTTTACATAACTTTATATTTTTAATTGACAAATAACTAAAGAGTACTATAACCAATTGGTCCATACAATAAACAAAACGAAACGTCCAAAATAACAACATAGATAATTCAACGGCCACTAATATACCAAAGAGATTCCTTTACATTTTATCTTAACCAAACATCGAAGAAATATGTTGAGTTAAACGTCAAACAAATAGTTAATACTGTTTCTAAACGGATCGACCTATTTCGGCCTATTTGTGTATAATATTGGGTAATACGTTGGCTATTAATATGGTAGGTTTGGTAATAATTGGCTCAGCGATGCTAACAATCAGTTGCTATTTCATTTGGATTAAGCGATTTATGTTTGGGTATAGAGTTAATCCTATTTAGATGATATTTGTGTGGGAGCGTATTGAAAGCTGTTCTCTGAACTAAACATTTGTATTTTAGGCACGGAACTACACCTTAAGGGACTAAAAGACACTTTTTCTTGTTTTGATTACATTAATTTTTATTAACATGAATTCCTGGAAGAATTTCGTAATAATAATCGTAATTATGCATAGATACACAGCATTTACTCCATCGCGATGAAATAACAAAACCTCAACATTGTATACGTTTGTATTAAAATGTACTACATTAATCGAAAATTCACTCTGTTTCCCGTAACTTGAGACTGTAAAAAATCTTGTTTCGGAACCGAAATATCATTTCAATATAATTTTTTCAACATTCGTTTTAAATATTCATCTAAGTCCTTGCGAACTACACCGGCTGTTGTGAAACGGGAACAGACAGGGATCCGATCTTACACCTTGTCATTAGTTGTAATATTAAAGCGACGATACGAAAATAGAAGAAAGAAGTACACAATTTCAAATGTAATGCATTACTTTCTGGTCCCATTACAAAGAACTAACGCCATGACAACAGCATTAACAAGAAATCATTGAATGAAACACAAACTTGACTACATTATAAATACTGACGTATACTGAGATATATAATAATATAAAAATACCTATATATTTATGTGTGGATTCCTTCATTCTTAGATTAACCATATAAAAATGTGTAATATAAAATATACATGTAAAATATGAAAGTGGAAATCTAGTGTAGGCTAGTGTGTTTTTCATTTCATTTTTTGTTTTAATTTACTTTTAATAATTCTATTCCATCTCTTTTCTTTATCTTGTTTTCTGTTCTTTGCTTTTTACCTTTTAGTCCTTAATAACTGTCATACTGACACATGCCTTTTTTTTCCGTTCGGAAATCCCCTCGGATACCACCTGTCGGTGGCATGTCGGACTCGAACCGACTAAAACCGCACGCCGTCTCGGGTACTAATAGCCGGGGAACCAGGTATATCCTAGAAAGGAAGTCCCTGGTAGCTCACACATACCTACATCAAAATAATGTTGTTGTTCATGAACTGTATCTATCAGTAATTAAAAAAGAGGACCGTAAGTTTGTTTGCCCTTTTTCCTCATAAAGCTCAACCCCTTGGAAACGGAAGGCTGTAGACCGGCACAGGCATGAAATGGATTGGATTTATTTTGATAAATATTTCACAAAACATAGATTGTTGCTATTGTGTTTGTTGATCCATGAATTTGGAGTCTACATAAAAGACGATTTTAACCAATTCTTTATTATGAAATATAGATGTTTTGACATTGACTTTGAAAAGATTTCTTCAACATTTTCTTGTGTCAAAAATCCGCTAATTCAATTTTTTAAGATGTCAAACAAACAAAGACAAAAACAATGCCAACGTTTTGATGAGTGCATCAAAACGGACATATTCACATACACATTACCTTTTTTGCTTCACCTTAGTCACGTAATAAACGCCAATGTAAAATGTTGTATAGTATGCTAATGGTGCAGTGCGTGTATTGCACCATAAGTAGTCCTACAAACTATATTTAACTATAAAAACAAAGTATGTGGGTTGTATAACGACTTTCTTTTGAACAGTCGCTGAGCTTGTTTCAACAATAACTTAATAACTATAACAGTATGTATTGAGTAACCATTATAGTAATGGTTACTCAACACATTTTAACATACCTACATTTTATTGTAGTGAAGTAAATCGATTGTATTTATTTTTATATATAGGAGGTTATCAAGCAGATGTGTCACCTAATGAAAAGTATCTACCACCTCCCACACCTCCCTACCACACACCTCACACACTTGCAACTCCTAAGTCACAAGAGCGTTGCCACCTTTTGACGTGAGAGTACGCTCTTTTTCTAAAGGTTTAAAATTTGTATCAATCCAGCAATACCACAGGTGACAATTTGTTCCAAAGGTTGGTCTTTCGAGCCAAAGGTTTTGTAAAAAGCGTACAGTGGTGGAGTGCTAATTATCTGAGGGGATTGAAATTTAATCGACTTGAACGATGGGGGAAAGCTGTGACCGATATAAGCTTGTTTTTATGCTAAATTAAACAGGTTATTGAAGAAAACGTTAGAATCACGAAACTAAGTAAAGCCTGTAATCTCTTCTACAAATATGATTTATATATAACTACCTTCAACTTAGTCTACGTCTCTCAAAATGAATAAATTTTCACCGTTTTTGCAACATTTTTACTTGATAGATAGATAAAGAGTTATCTCTTTATTGTACAAGAAAAAAACACTAATTATAGAACACTTTATATACATTTGAATGAGTCTTAAAATCTAGGGACAGTTACACAAAGAAAGTAATACTAGTGATGTATCATACCCTTTCTCAATAAATCTATCCAACATTATAATATTTTTTCAATCAGAACCAGTAGTTCCTGAGATTGATAAACAAATACATAAATTCTTCAGCTTTATAATTGTAGTATACATACTATAATACTGTAAGGATTCTTGTACCCGGAAGACAGACATCTTATGATAAAATTAGCTCGTTATACAGCTGATTTGTTTACTGTAGCACGCTGTAAACTTTATGGGTACAGTTTATCGTCGGTTATTATAGATTTAGATAAATGAGCCCTGATGGCTGTAATAAAAGTGAATGTACTGTGTATTATGGTAAAGACATATAATTATCATATCGCCTCAGCATCAGCCATTTATTTTAGCATTATTATATTGAAATATAATAAGAATGCTAATGGATGAGTTTTTGAGCTTTAGTTAACGTCTATAATAATGACCGTTAATTGTTTTTTATAATTTAATAATTTGATTCTGAATCTTCAAACTGTGTTTTACTCCATTTTCAATGTATTCATATGACTTAGCGCTAAATTAGTGGTGTAGTACGGTACGCGAATGCAGTCCATGAGGCCTAAAATATTATCAAATTGCGGCACAAACAGACAGATAGACAGACATAAAATATTTAAACTGGTTTTTACAGGTATCATGCAAATAACCGTGTGAACATGAAAAACCTATTAATTTTACATTACAAACAAACACTTCAATTTTCTTTATTTGTACGTAGCATAGAGAATTGATAAGTGTTCAGTGTGCTTAATTATGTGAATCTATATATTATAATTAGTCTTGGTTCATCTCTTATCCTTAATCTTCTCCATCCAGCGGTTGCCTGGAAGAGATCGCAAATCGCGATAAGGCCGCCAATGTACAACTTTTTTCTTTTGTATTCTTATTTGAGAACGGGACTTGTACATTATACTTTTCATTTGTCCCCACTCCAATTAAAAAAAAACACCACTCTTAAGAGTGAAAAATTAAGTAATAAAGAACACAGTTTTAAAAAATACATTTTGTTACAGTTAATCACAGTGTATTTGTATTGAAGTCAGTGATAATTTTTAAAAGTTAAAAACACTATTAGGTACACACGTGAAAACTACTTCCTGAGTTATATATGATTCACAGGTAAGTGTGTCCAAGCGTGGGACTCAGCGGGTCTTTCTGCAAGCAAGTTATGCTTACGAAGGAGAAGGCGGAGCGGGACCGGGAACGAGCCAGGTACTGCAGACAACTCGCAGAACGCCCTCCGTCCTCCATAAGCGCAGACCTGTTGGTGACATGTGAGGCCATCTCTCACCCTAGCAAAAGCAGGCAGGGGTGGCGGCGAGACGCGCTGCTGAGCGCGCGCGCCCTTTCGCGAGCACAAATGGTTCCCACACTGGAGAGGGTCCGAGGTACGTCAGGGTACCAGGGATTTCCTTTCTAGGGTACACCTTGTTCCCCGGCTACTGGTACCCGAGACGGCTTGCGGTTTTTGGTAGGTTCGACATAGCCACCGGTGTGTGGTTTCCGAGGGAATTTCCGCAAAGAAAAAAAAGGTCAGTATGTCTCAGGTAGGCTGGTAATACTTCACACACGAGATATGTATTGTTATCTATGAATCTACTGTTTCAAAATTTAACGCCAACCGTTAGTACTTATATCCACAATAATCCGAAGGTTTGCAGTCATTCGAATTTAATGTTTTAGACCCCTCTCTGACCTTATTTTAGTTTCCGGCCATTTTCTCTCCATTATCTTATACCTAATCTCTATATTTAATTAATTCTGGTTGAAATTACAACGCCAGGTTAATCATAAACTAAGCTTCTGATTTCAAATTAAGAAATAGATAATGAGATTAAATAAATCACTGATATTTACATTGGGTTTGAAATACGCATTCCTCTGCATATTTTAAAATAGTTAAGCTTTC